AAGGGTTGACCGAAAGGTAAGCGGGGTCGAGGAACTCGAATCTGATGGTAGTTATATATATATATATATATATATATCTTATTGGTGGAGAAAAATAGTTATTTGAAATATCTAATCCTTTATCTAGCATTTGGTATAAATACCTGCTGTTTTTTATGTAAAAGTATCTAATTTAGGTAGAAATAAACTTAAATACATAATAACGTATTAAAAATCTAACATCTGAAAGCAGTTCTTCTACAAGAAAGAGTTGAGCGAGTCCTCGGACGAGCCTTACTTGTTACCTAACGTGTTTTAGGTTTTCGCTCGGCAACAATAAAATCTTTTAGAAATTTCTACAAGATGCTAACAATTCCAAGAATCTATCTTGTAAAGAAAATAATAATGAAAAAAAAACAGACACCATCGAAAAATAAAAGACTTAACAGCATCCGATCTCAATCGATACCTATCCAAGCCAAGGAAGAGAAATTGGAAGTTAATACGGTCTCAGAAATATTCATTAGGATCTAGCAGAATCCATCGGGATCCATTAGGATCCGAGGATCCAGTATCCGCTTTTTTCCCCTTGGGTTTTCGTATGTCTGATACTGTACATACGGTTGTCTGTGACTGTTCCCTATACATAGTTTTTTCTCGATAATTGAAGCGTACAATGGATCCGTTTAAATTGCTGCAGACGACTGCAAATTTACTTGTTGCTTCTGTCACATTATTCAAATAGTAGTAGTCCTTAGTTTTCAGACTAAGATATGCTTGGCAGATGACAAATATACAGCAACTACTAAAATGAAAGGTGCCAAAGAAGCATTTTCAAAGGAGGAACAGCGTGAAATACGTCTTTTAATCACAACTAAATATAACACTGTACTACTGAGCTTACATTATGAGAAGGTTGAATTTTTGAAAGCCAATAAATTTAATAAGAGTCTGAGACATGATTGTTGTCATTTACAAAGTCGACACATGTTTGGTATTGTCAATAAATAACTAGAAGCCTTTCAAAATCGTGCACAGCATTCGTATTATTTATCATTGAGCAACAATAGAACAAGACGAACACAATCGATGTTTACGGTAGGTAAGTCTAATATTGACTGAAAATATGGTACGATGAAACATGCTCATAGCTAGAAGAAAGAATTTCGAGGGTGTGGGTGTGGGGTGTGGATGGGTGTGGGTGTGGGTGTGAGTGTGGGCGTGGGTATGGTTGTGTGGGTGTGGGTGTGGGATGGGTGTGGGTGTAGGGTGTGGATGTGGGGTGTGGGTGTGAGTGTGGGTCCTCTGTTCAGGCACAGCTATTCACATCCACACCCAGTCCCACACACACACCCACACCCCACATCCCACACCCACACCCACAACCCACACCCCACACTCCACACCCACACCCCACACTCCACACCCACACCCCACACCCCACACCCACACCCACACCCCACACCCACACCCCACACCCCATACCCACAGCCACACCCCACACTCCACACCCACACCCAGAACACATTCGATGAACACTATTATTTAAATATTCTGGTAAATAAGTCAATGAGTTCAACAACGTGTGATAAAGGAAGAAATTCGTACCATCATTTTATTACAGAACTATTTCGGCAAAGATGTTAACAGGCCACTTATTGTATCTCTAGGTATGATCAACAGTTCTTCAACGGGTTGACTCCATGCCTAATAGTGACGTAGCCAGGAATTTGTTAACATTGAATCGCCAATCTACTATTTGAAAATATTCAAATATCTTTTGATGTCTCTTGATTTTGTAGTCAGCATAAAAATTTCGTCTCTTCGTCAGATCAATGCTTCTTTTGAATGCCAATTTATCTGTTCATCAAGCAAATGAATGGATCGCAGGAAACATATGTCGGTGTATGTTTAACAACGCATTGTGGTTGCTTTCTATGTATCATCACAATCGAATTCTATTACTCTTTCGCTGTTTAGAAAAATATTCATTGTTTTCGTTGGTAATTAGCATGTGTATAGTGCTTGTCCTCAGGCACGAGTAAGGGTGAGATTGAGTGTCGCTGAATAAACAACCCTTATTCTCTCAAATAGCTGCAGATCACGGACTTTCTTTTGAAATATGCACATCGAATATGAGACATTCGACTTCGGCCGATCCTCTACGTTGTAAGTCGGCCATCTGGTGAACACTCTCTTAAAAGTGTCTTTCATATAAATCTGAGAAAAGCTTTGCCAATGCATTCAATATCTTGTAAACCAAAGTCAAGAATACTAGTTGCTGGGAAATGGTTCACAATTCTAGATCCTATTCGAAGACACTCGTATGAGAGATTACTCGTTAAAAAACCTATTTGAAAAATTCAAAATAGTAGATATATATTTTATGTTTAACTTGTTATTTGATTCAATTATCTTAGAAACAATACAACTTTCTTGAATTTCTGTATTTAGATTGTCGTTCTTACTAAAATGAATGTAACACTTCAGTAATAGTTGTCTGTTTGCCGGTCGCAAATGATAACATCAGTTTTACCTATTCAGCATAAACGTTTTTTTGGCTTATTCTTCTCTTCAAGTGCAATATCATGACTTGTTATCTTCGGATTGCGTCAAAGGAATGAGATAAAAAAGCATTTATATGCGGGTATGTTGAATTGATTTTGAAGAAAAAAGTCATGAAAGAGTTAGTACAAAATCGTCCAAACTCTCTGCTATTTTATGTAAACGGAAATGAGATAATCGAATCAAATGCTGAACCTGATTGGACTCTTTTGTGGTACCTGAGAAATAGTAAGTTCTATTTTAATGCGTTTCAACACTCCATGGATAACAGTAGATAAATTATAAGACACTTTGAATGAACTAAACATTTCTCGCTAGTTTTTATCACGTTGTGCATTCTTTAAATAGAGTTGAATCTTACTGGTTCCAAGTTGGGCTGTGGTACAGGTGGATGTGGAGCTTGCACAGTCCTCATTTCACGCTGTACTGATCGATGCTCTGGTAAAATTGAACATTATACGACGAATGCATGTTTAGCACCGTTGTGTTCTGTGGATGGATGTCATGTGATCACCGTAGAAGGTTTGGGTTCAGTGAAAAAGTCAAATATTCATCCAGTTCAATCTCGTCTAGCCGAAATGTTTGGTACGCAATGCGGCTTCTGTACCCCGGGTATTGTTATGTCTCTATATGAGACTGTAGCAATGGATGACAACAATGAATCACCGACAATGCAAGATATTGAGGAAGCATTCGATGGACACATATGCCGATGTACCGGCTATCGATCTATACTCGATGCGGCTAAAACATTTGCAAGAGATGTTGATAAATACATTGCAATTCAAGAATCACCAACATCGAAAATCACATCGACGACATTTGAGAAATGTATTTCGTACTTGAGTAAAAATGTATCATCGCCACCGTTTCGAATCGAATTCCCCCAGAAATTACGGGAATATAATCCGCAGTCGATTCATATTAAAGGTAACTATTTCACGATAGTATTTATCATCTATTTATCAATAATACTGACAGATTTTACATGATTCTTATAAATTTTGTGAATAGGTTCTATGCTCGAATGGTATCGCCCGATTTCACTCGACGAATTACTTTCTCTTCGTCATTCTTATCCTGGTAGTGCATCGAAGCTCATCTTCGGAAATACTGCTGTTCAAATTGAAAGAAAATTTAAACGCATCCAACATCATCGTCTTATTTCAATAACACATATTGATGAATTACAACAATTAAAAAGAACACCGAATTCATTTATCATTGGTGCTGGTATTACATTCACACACTTACAATCAAAATTATATGAATGGAAGAAAGAAGTGAACAATGATGGCGGTATTTGTGAAGCTCTAATTGATCAACTGAAACACTTCGCATCGACGCAAATACGAAACGTTGCTTCGTTCGGAGGTAGTATTGTCAATGCTTCGCCGATGTAAGTTCTTCGATTTTGACAAAATCTTGTAATAAAAGTTGTTTTTGTTATTCAATGAAAATAATCTAAAATATTGTCTTCCTGATGGTTCTGTGGGTAGTCGAGCACGAAAGACATTAAGTTCTTTGGAAATGTTTAAATCGAACCCATCTTATAGAGTATTTTTTGTACTGACTCTGTCTTACAGTTTAAAAAGGCTACGGTGACATTAACTGAAACACTTACTAGTTACTCTTAATGAACAAGTAGCGCTCGTCTTCACGACTCGCTTAACCCTTGACTGAATTGCACTTTATCTGTTTTAGCCATAGCTAGATCGCTTGAATTCTGAAAAGTCTTGCGGAGCATAAACACACAGATGAAAAAAGCCGTTCATACCATCGCCAATGACGATCATTTTGCATTCCTATCGGACTTTTCTGTCTTTTTGTTGAAACCTCAATCGTTCTACGAAGTTTATGTTTGCTTGATTGTGTCTATCAACTGGAACGCTTGTGGCAATTCAGCCTCATATACATTTTGCTTACTATTAATAGTACCACGCTCAAAGTGTTGCGCGTGAGATAATCTAAAAGTAACTAATGATCGTTATTTCCCGTTTCACTATTTTCGAATTATTTTTTCAGCTCGTTTTTTATTGGGAAAAGGAGGACTGCACATCGTTTTCATCCAACATAAAAATAATAAACCCCGATAAATCGTTTCGTTAGTCATTCTTCAAGCATATACTAGTGAAGTTTAACATAAATCATAAAAAATAATGATTCCCAAGACTGAATAACTAATTCCTAATTAAAAGTTAAGATGTATCATTTTACCTCAGATACACACAGCATCATACTTATAATGAAATATTATTGCGGCTACTACCTATTAGCTGAGAGATTGATGTCTAACTTGTCCATAGCACTACGACACTAGCGTATATCTTGTGATTTCTATTCGGAGTAAAATGTTCGTGACAAAATTACGGTAGACACGAAGAATGTTTTAGCTGAAGCGGAGAAACTGCATATTTAACTATTGACACCGTAAGAAGAATTCAGAGATTTGATAACGTTGCTTGTATGTGCTTACTACTCGTTTTTATAATAATCGCGTACAAGATCTTATACTCTCTTCGCGTCCATGCCGTCTTAAATTCAATTTTCGCAAGTATCAACTCGTATTTTTAGCTATGAAAGTTTTGTGCTTTTCACCGTTACACCAGCTGGTTTAATATCAAAACATTTAGCAATATTTTCTTCCGAGTATTTCACCAAATCTGTTAATTTTTCGGAAAGACAAGGCTCACATGTCAGTCTGTAATAACGTTTTTTCACTGTTTGCTGCTCTTAAACAGTGTCTTAACTTATCACTCTCGCCCAGTAGAAAACTTTTTGTGAAACACGATCTGAAAGGAGTGTTGAAGTGTTTAGGGGTAGAAATTTGGACCCCCCCTCCCCCACAGACCGTGACAGACAGGCTCTGAACCATCACAGATCGTGACAGACAGGGTCTGGACCCATCACAGACCGTGACAGACAGACTCTGGACCCATCACAGACCATGACAGACAGGATCTGGACCCATCACAGGCCGTGACGGACAGGCTTGGGACCCATCACAGACGGTGACAGACAAGCTTTGGACCCATCACACACCGTGACAGAGAAACTGTAGTTCTAAAGCATCAGATAAACGGTTAGCTGCAAATGTATTGCAAGGAAATGGAACAAAACGATTTCCATTTAATTAGTAACAACAGATCCATCGTGTTTCACATTTTTAATCCCGCAAGGGATTGCGCTAACAGCTTTTCTATGAATAAGAGCGACTAGAAGTGTATTTTGTCCGAACCTATCCGTGCAGCTGCTAGCCGTTCGTCAGCACCTATACAGGGCGTCACTCACGACTAGCTGCTGCTTTCTTTAAACCCATTATTCTGAGAGATCACTATTATTCATCCAAAACCTAGCCGACCGAAGTTTTCTTTATTATAAAAAATTGTGCAGTTCAGAATATGACAATGATGAATCCGAAATCACCAAACACCATATTTTGTAGTGAACGAATCTTTGATCCCTTAATCTCGCGGGCATTCAAGAAAATTCCAAATATATCTGAAGTCCTTTTTATAAGACACTCAGACGAAACTTTCAGAAAACCATGCTACTTTCCATAGACATCTCTCCTGCAGCACATCTCTAGGGAACCTCTGATATGAGCGCCTATTTCTCGTCAACGTTCCATCCGGATGCAACAGTCACCTATCTATCCCATGTGGAGATGTGCTCTCGAAAACAAAACGATCGGATAAACACAGTAGAAAAACCTTGTGAGAATGAATGTGTCGCTAGCAGGGATCCACCAATTCCAATTTCCACAAATTCCAATTCTGACAATTGACTGGAGTTAGAATTGGAGTTGACTGTTATAAAAATACTAATTTTGCACATATTTACATAAACTAATAATTCGATTATACTTTTTTCAGATCAGTGCATCGTCAATTCCAATTCCAGCTCTTGGTTTGGAATTGAATGAAATTGGCATTGATGCATCTGTAGTCGCCGGCGTAGGTATTACGACGCATTGTTTGCCACTATATGCAAATAGGTAGACATAAAAGTATCTCTTGAACCGCATAAACAACTCTACCCATACCCACAGTGATACTCACAACCGAAACATACATACTCAGAATTTTTAAACACTAATCATACATTCGAATTTCCCGACCTCAATTGTCTTTGGTCAAACTTTATAAAAAATCAATATTTTCGTAAGAAACTCTTTCCTTGACCCAAAAGATCAAGCTCAAAATTGCAAAAACCCGATAACGAACTCGGATTCTCCAACCTCGATTACCTGTTGTTGAACCTTTGTAGTAGCTTAAGATTAACCTTTGATCTGCCACAGACAGACGGACAAACTCATTTTATTTCATATGACCCTCCCTTCAGTCGAGGGGTTAATGTTCTCAAAGGGTTATATTCATACTGCGAGTTCCAACTTTTCCGTTGCTTTTGCCGCGAGATACACCTATTGAAACTTCTGTTGCAGATGTGAGCAAATTTTGTGCTTATATTCATGTGTCACAGTCAATGCAACGAGGAAAGCCGAAGCTTTTTGAGTGCACTAGTCTTATAGAGAGCACTAGTTTTGCTAAGTTTTAAATCGAAATTCGACAGTCAACTGTCAACGTGATCTGAGGGAGAGCAAAGAGTTTTGTTAACAGAATCAGTAAAAAGTCTATTTCTCAGAAGTCTTATGAGTAAACGAGGCTAGATAAGCACAGGTAACAAACACTAAGTGCGAAGCATAAGTAGATAAATCATCGAGGTCCTAGCTATATCAACTGTATGGATTGCTCCTGGCTCCTTCTTCTGTCCACTGTAATTTCATCCCTCATAGACAATAAAAAATCCAGGTCGTCTGTTATAAATTTCATAGCGTTCTCGATAAGGGGTCTTCTATTGAGGAAAGGTTTTCTAATATGTAGATAGGTTTAGTAATTTTCTACCAATGCTTGCCAAATTCACTTCGGAGATCGGTTGCTGATCCCGAATGTGCTAACAAAAAACATATTCGTCATATAGTCAGTGGCGACCATTTTGTGCTAGTATTACACTTGTCTCTCTTTCTTAAAACTTTCTTAATCGAAGCATAAATAACAGCTCGTATTCAGTCGTCGATGATCCTACAGATCACCACTACTGATCGCTCAATGCTCTATATATGTCAGTTCTAGTTTATAGTAGTACCTCATTCACTTGTTCCGACAACTTTTCAGCGATACTAAACAAGATTCATGAGCATGCACTTCATAAACAAATTCTTACTATCAACTACCGGTAGTGAATAAAACAAGATCATTAGTCAACATAAAGCTATTGGGTTGATATTTTAGTTGGAATAGTGCAAATGGAACTAACAAGTGTGAAAAACCTTCTCTCACGATCTGAGTACTGAAAAATTCTTTTCTTACGATTTTCCACATTCCACTGGAAACTTGTTGTAACAGATCATGGTTCAGTACATAAAATACTCTGAAAGTCTTGCTGTTCAAATTGAATGAACAAATAAACAGTATACTTTTCTTTGATCCATAGAACCATTGCGAAAAAATATTTTACCAGTCTGTAGAAGCCTAACAATTTTTTTCTCGTACGACATACTTTCGATGGAAGTGTATTGAATATTTAATATGCAACTAAGGCTCATTCTATGTACTCTTTGATTATTTTCAAAAATATATGAAAGTATTTCTGCACTGAAACAGAAAAATTGATCTACATTTTGTCATATTTACTCGATCGATGATTTTTTTCTGGTTATTGAACACATCAAATTCTGTTTCCTTCGCATTTTTCTGTTAGATCTTTGCCCACAGGAACAACACCGTTAATTCTAAGTCATCTATTACATCTGTCTTTGTTCGTAACTCTTTATTGTTGTGTTACTTTCCTACAATAACACATATCACTGCACTGGAAAAGATATCTCTTAAAGTCCAGAGAAAAATATTTGTCTCATTTTTGTTATAATTTTTTGCATTTTTATCATAGTAAAGCTTAGTAATGTAGCAGTTACACTTTGATAAGGTTTTATCATATTGCATAGGAAGGGATGAAATCTAAGTAAAGCTCTTAATTTTAAAGTAGCCCATACACACAGTCAAAACCAAATCAACTAAATTTGTTTTGATCAGCGTTTCATCGGCTCCAGAGAAAACAATAGATTACCAATAAATCAAATGTAAGTTGTGCTTCCCACTAAATTTTATAAAATTCTATTAACATTGAAATATTCCAAGTCCACATGCATTCATCAAAATTAGGAGTACCACTACCACCAATAGCATCATTCTATCATAGTACTTTTGTTCAAACTCAAAAGACTCTGAATTCACTTATCATTCCCACCAAAATAGACCATAAGAGTATCTGACCAAGTCAGCCCCTTCGAAATGTTACGATTGCGTTAAGCTCAAGCTCAAATTTACTCAAGATTAGTTTTGAC